CGCAGAAGGTCCCAGGTTCAATCCCCGGCAGCTCCAGTTAAAAAGGACCAGGCAGGAGGAGATGGGAAAGACCTGAGAACCTGGAGAGCGGCCGCCAATCTCAGTAAACAATACTGACCTCGATGGACTAATGGTCTGATTCAGTATAAGCCAGCTTCACGTGAGAGTTCTGTTCAGGGGAGGGGCCGTGGCTCAGTGATAGAGCCTCTGCTTGGCATGCTGAAGGGCCCAGGTTCAATCCCCGGCAGCTCCAGTTAAAAAGGACCAGGCAGGAGGAGATGGGAAAGACCTGAGAACCTGGAGAGCGGCCGCCAATCTCAGTAAACAATACTGACCTCGATGGACTAATGGTCTGATTCAGTATAAGCCAGCTTCACGTGAGAGTTCTGTTCAGGGGAGGGGCCGTGGCTCAGTAGCTGAGCATCTGCTTAACATGCAGAAGGTCCAAGGTTCCATCCCCGGCGTCTCCCGTTAAAAGGATCTCAGTTACTGACCCTCCACCTGAGACCCTGGAGAGCAGCTGCCAGTCTGAGCAGACAATGCTGACCTTGATGGACCGAGGGTCTGATATAAGGCAGCTTCCAGCCTTCCTGAGTAATCCTAACTATTTTGCTAATCTTTATCCTGATCTTCCCCCCGGGAGTCCAGGGCACCCTACAAAATCCTCTCTTCCCTGTTTCAGCCTCCCAACAGACACTGCGGTGGGATAAGGCCGGTCTGCCACAGAAGGGCACAGAGTGGGCAGTTTTTCGGGTTACACCAGCCCAGTTTTTCGGCTTTTTTCGGGTTACACCAGCCCAGGCCTTACCTGCAAACGCCATGATTTTCACAACCTGCCCGGGCGCGATCGCGTGGTTTAAGATCAACTGCTGTTCGCGGGTTGGCTGGATGTCCGAGCTGGCGCTGGGGAGAACCAGAAAACCCGGTGAGGACCTCGTTGACATATGCCCCAGTTCTCGGCGCACGCGGGGACCCGCGGAGAGCTCACGGGAAAGTCTCCCTCTTCCTTTTGCGCCCTTCCACCCTACACCTCGACTGAGACAACTGCCACTCTTCAAGCTTAGCAAGACAGGGATGGCTGTGTTCACCGTCCCTCCGTTGCTGGGTTTGTAAGGTGGCAAATTTTTGGTTTTCCCGGGTAAAGCTCCTCTGCTTTGAGCGTCTGCAGAACAAGCAGAAATTCACCAGATGAAGCTTCTCCCGTGCGGTTCTTCACCTGATGCATTTCTGCCTGTTGCACAGAAAGAATCATAGAGTTGGAAGCAGCGTTCCCTCTGAGATGAGTTAGTGTGAGCGAGCTCACAGTTTTTTAGCCTCCGACTCACACGTTTTTGTCCTAGCTCAGTTAGGATGGCTCCAGAGCAGACTAATTTATGTAGCAGCCCAATCGCTCGCTCACAACTTTAATGCCCGTAACTCACAAAGCAGAATTTTTGCTTGCAAGACTCCACAGCTTAGAGGGAGCATTGACTGGAAGGGATCTTCAGGGTCATCTAGTCCAAACCCCCGTGCAATTCAAGATCACTGCAATGCAAGCCTCTTGTTAGGGCCGCGGAGTCCCTGTTTCAATCTGGAGCTCGCTTAAACCTCTGCTTGGTGTTTCGCTCTTCTTCCCTACTTTAAAGCGCACTGCACACTTGGCTTCCTAGTCCCAAATCCCTCAGAATCTAACGCTCTCCTGCCAGTGTGGCCTCCTCCATGTACACAAGCAAAATACAAACGGGGATCACGGTTAGACAATACAGAAAACTGTAAGTACGCCGGAAAGCAAACTAACAATATATTGCACATGTTGTGATAAAACAGTATAATCCAACATGTTAAAAAGTAAAGGTAAAGGTTCCCTTGCTCGAAAGCCAGTCGAGTCCGTTTCGAAGCCGAAGAGCCAGCGCTGTCCGAAGACGTTTCCGTGGTCATGTGGCCGGCATGACTAAACACCAAGGCGCACGGAACGCTGTCCCCTTCCCACTGAAGTGGTACCTATTTATCTACTTGCAATTTCTTGCTTTCGAACTGCTAGGTTGGCAGGAGCTGGAACTAGAGACGGGAGCTCTACGCCAACATGTAGTGAATTAATAATAGAGATTCAATAGAATTTATAAACATATAAGGTAGAAGAAGTTTAGCTTGGAGAGGAGACAAATGAGAGGGGATACGATCACCATCTTCAAGTACTTGAAGGGCTGTCCTACAGAGGATGGAGAGGAGTTGTTTTCTGTTGCTCCAGAAGGTTGGACCAGAACCAACGGGATTGAAATTAAATCTGAAGAGTTTTCGGCTAAACATAACTGTTTTCTTGAAGCAAGAGGGCAGTTAGAGCAGTTCCTCAGTGGAGCAGGCTTCCTCGGGAGGTGGTGGGCTCTCCTTCTTTGGGGGTTTTTAAGCAGAGGCTAGGTGGCCATCTGACAGCAATGCTGATTCTGGATATTTAGGCAGATCACGAGAGGGGAGGGCAGGAAGGGTTGCCTCGGTGCTTAGTTCTCATGGCCCTTTCTTGCATGCCCGGGGAGAAGCTGATCGCCACTTTGGGGTCAGGAAGCCATTTCCCTCCTGGCCAGTTTGGCTGGGGATCCTGGAGGTTTTTTGCCATCTTCTGGGAATGGAGCAGGGGTCACTGGGGGTTTGTATGTGGGGGGGGGGTATTTGTGAATTTCCTGCATTGTGCAGGGGGCTGGACTAGATGACCCTGGAGGCCCCTTCCGACTCTATGATTCCATGATTCTAAGGTATCAGAACGTATTATACAAGGCATGAACATTCCAAAAAGCAATCGGCGTCACCAGTTTAAGGACCGCCTAATGACAAGTACATAATACGCAATATACAAGCTAAAGTCCTCCTGTACGTGCACAGTCTCCAGGTAGATCTCCCGCAGTGTTTGGAACAAGGACTTCAAGCAGAAATCGGCTGAGCAAATCCCGATGGACAATTGAGACTATGTCAAGAAGACCCTTTTTCAAGAGCTGACAACCAGCTATTCATTTGGTCAGATACCACTTATCAGAAGGGCATATTAAAAAAAGGAACACCACTACCTTCTATTGAATTTCTATTCTTTTCTAGTTAATTAGTTTACCTTTGATGGCATTATAAAAGGGAGAACATTAAACTAAACATAAATAAATAAATAAATAAAAGAAAAGAACTAAACATAAAATGAATCACAAATGTAAATGTCCCAAAATTACAGTATATTACTTCGTATAAGAACATAAAAACTTTGCCACTGAATCAGTTATATTGTCATCAAAGTAAATTATATTGCTTATTGTAATCTTACTGCTATTGTTACTGACTGTTTTTAGATGTTTTGTATTAATTTTACTGGTTTTTAATTGTTGTAAGCCGCCTTGAGTATCAGGAAAATCCATAATGCTTGATAAAATTGGAAATAAAATACTTTAGCTAATATTATTATAATAAGGACACTCTAACAACACATGAGGCACTGTTTCAATAGTTCCATTTAAACAAGGGCAATGTAAGGGGTATACCCAGAAATCTTCCGGTTGAAATCACTGAAGGTAAAACATGAAGCCCAGCAAGAGAATTTCTATTATTAATTGACTACATGTTGGATTAAATTGACTACATGTTGGAGAGCCCCTTTGGTGTAGTGGTTTAAGTGCGCGGACTCTAATCTGGGAGAACCGCGTTTGATTCCCCCACTCCTCCACTTGCACCTGGCTGGATGACCTTGGGCAAGCCATAGTTCTGATAAGAGCTGTTCTTGAAAAAAAGCCGCTTCTGTCAAGAGCTCTCTCAGTCACACCCGCCTCACAGGAGGGTGTCTGTTGTGGGGAGGGGGAGGGAAAGGAGTTTGTAAACCGCTCTGAGACACCTTTGGGTAGTGAAGGGCAGGGTAGAAATCCAATCTCTTCTCAATCTCTCTTCTAAATTGTTTTATCACAACATATGCAATATATTGCTAGTTAATTTGCTTCACGGTGTTCTTACAGTTTTCTATACCTTCCATACAGGCAGCATACAATGTTTTATGCCCTCATCGGTATCTATACATGCATGTGTGTATTTATTTGATTTATAACCCGCCCTTCCCTGTAAACAGGGCTCAGGGCAGGTGACGACATTTCCAAAAACACACAACAATTTAACACTGAATTCACATTAAAATAAGGTTAACAATTAAAAATAAGGTTAACAATTTGGCGAACGATTTCTGAACGCCAAGTTTCCCCCGAGACAAAGTGCCTTTTCCCTTCTTTCACACGAGCGGCACCGTTCCACTGTTATCAACAGCTTCGTTAAGTGTGGAGTGTTTGTGAACACTCCGTGACATCACATCAGGGTTCGGCCAATCCTTGGACAGCTGCCAGACAGACAAGCAGGCGGGGTCCATAATTAATCTTGTATTTCGACAGAAGATACGATAGGCAGTACCTGCAGCCGTGGCCACTTTCGTAGCTGGAGCCGGGCGTCTCTGGTTTTACAACTGCCGGGCCGCAGCTTGAGTTCTCCATTTGACACAGGCAGTAGTTAATGTTGTAGTGAATCCTACAAGAGGAAAGTGAGAAATGAAGGAGTCACTGTGGCTCGGTGCTTATGGGGAGGGATGCTCTAGCTTGTGGAGTCTGTGGGCACGCTGGGAACTCTGAGAAAGGTTAGTGGGCTTCACAACAAAATGGCTGCCATCGGAGGCTGGACCAATCACAAAATGGCTGCTGGTAGGGGCAATTTCAAAATGCTGAAAAGCAAGTCTTAGGATGCATTAACAGAAGCCTTGTTACTACCACGGGAGGTGGTAGTTCTGCTCTATTCTGCTGTGGTCAGGCCTCACCTGGAGTCCTGTGTCCAGTTTTGGGCACCACATTTGAGGAAGGATGTTGACAAGCTCGAGTGTCGTGTCCAGAAGAGGGCAACCAGGATGGTGAGAGGGTTGGAATCCCAGTCTTACGAGGAAAGGCTGAAAGAGTTGGGTCTGTTTAGCCTGGGAAAGAGAAGGCTTAGAGGGGACACGATTGCAGTCTTCAAGTATTTGAAGGGCTGTCATGTAGAAGATGGAGCAGATCAATTCTCTCTTGCTCCGGATTGCAAGACTAGATCTAATGGGTGGAAATGACAAGGGAGTCGTTACCGGCTAAATCTCAGGAGAAACTTCCTTGCTGTAAGGGTGGTTGAGCAGTGGAACAGTCTGCCTCGGGAGGTGGCGGATGCTCCTTCGCTGGACGTTTTCAAGCGGAGGCTGGACCTTTTGGGTATGTTGTAGGGTTATATTTCAGCTGTGCTCCTGCAGAGTGCAGGGGGTTTGACTAGATGACCCGCAAGGTCCCTTCCAACTCTAACATTCTATGATTCTATGATTCCAAGCCGAACATCATCTTATGATGGGGACAGGTTTTTCCAAAAGGGCGCCCCTCACAGACCCAAAGGTGAGGCTTCCTGCGTTCTTCCGAAGCACCTCCTGCTCTAGTGAACTAACCAGGATTTCACTCCCTACTTTGGAAAGAGATGTTTTGGGGAAGAAGGAAATGGGCATCAGGAAACACACACAGGCAGGTGTCATGGTGCCCCCCAGCACCACACTGGAAATCATTGTGTTAGAGTGTTGGATTTCAGAGACCTGGGTTCAAATTAAGGTATCCAGGCTTTTGGGGGCAGGGCATGGGGAGAGTGAGTGTCTTGCAATGCAGTGGTGTTGCTTCTGGGTGAAGACCCAGAAGAGTGAAGACTCAGAAGTGATGGCGCTGTGTCACTCTAGGCCTCCCTCATCTCAATGATAAACACCAAAGAGTTTCGAGAAATTCCTAGAACGTCTCAGATGCAGCAGCCAGAAGTGACATAAGTCAAGCCATGTTGGATCAAGCCAATGGCCCATCCAGTCCAACATTCTGTGTGACACAGAGCGCCAAAACCCAGGAGTCCTCAGGAGGCCCACCAGCGGGGCCAGAACTCCTGAAGCCCTCCCACTCTTGCCCCCCAAGCATCAAGAAGACAGAGCATCACTGCCCCAGACAGAGTGTTCCAGCTATAAGAAAATAAGTCAAGCCATGTTGGATCAGGTCAATGGCCCATCCAGTCCAACACTCTGTGTCACACAGTGGCCAGAAATACCAGGTGCCATCAGGAGGTCCACCAGTGGGGCCAGGACACCAGAAGCCCCTCCCACTGTGGCCCCCTAAGCACCAAGAAGACAGAGCATCACTGCCCCAGACATAGGAACATAAGAGAAGCCATGTTGGATCAAGCCAGTGGCCTATTCAGTCCAACACTCAGTGTCACACAGTGGCCCAAAATATAATGTGCCATCAGAAGGCCCACCAGCAGGGCCAGGAACTCCAGAAGCCCTCCCACTCTTGCCCCCCAAGCACCAAGAAGACAGAGCATCCCTGCCCCAGACATAAGAACATAAGAGAAGCCAATGTTGGATCAGGCCAGTGGCCCATCCAGTCCAACACTCAGTGTCACACAATGGCCAGAAATACCAGGGGCCCTCAGGAGGTCCACCAATGGGACCAGAACTCCAGAAGCCCTCCCACTGTGGCCCCCCAAGTACCAAGAATACAGAGCATCCCTTGCCCCAGACATAAGAACATAAGAGAAGCCAATATTGGATCAGGCCAATGGCCCATCCAGTCCAACACTCTGTGTCACACAGTGGCCAAAAATACCAGGGGCCCTCAGGAGGTCCACCTGTGGGACCAGAACTCCAGAAGCCCTCCCACTGTGGCCCCCCAAGCGCCAAGAAGACAGAGCATCACTGCCCCAGACATAGGAACATAAGAGAAGCCAATATTGGATCAGGCCAATGGTCCATCCAGTCCAACACTCTGTGTCACACAGTGGCCAAAAATACAAGGAGCCCTCAGGAGGTCCACCAGTGGGACCAGAACTCCAGAAGCCCTCCCACTGTGGCCCCCCAAGTACCAAGAATACAGAGCATCCCTTGCCCCAGACATAAGAACATAAGAGAAGCCAATATTGGATCAGGCCAATGGCCCATCCAGTCCAACACTCTGTGTCACACAGTGGCCAAAAATACCAGGGGCCCTCAGGAGGTCCACCTGTGGGACCAGAACTCCAGAAGCCCTCCCACTGTGGCCCCCCAAGCGCCAAGAAGACAGAGCATCACTGCCCCAGACATAGGAACATAAGAGAAGCCATGTTGGATCAGGCCAATGGCCCATCCAGTCCAACACTCTGTGTCACACAGTGGCCAAAAATACCAGGTGCCATCAGGAGGTCCACCAGCGGGACCAGAACTCCAGAAGCCCCTCCCACTGTTGCCCCCCCCCAAGCACCGAGAAGACAGAGCATCACTTGTGCCAGACAGAGTTTTCCATCTGTACCTTGTTGCTAAAAGCCACTCATGGACCTCAGCTCCTGGAATCTATGGAAAACCATAGAGTCTGCCCTCTGAAGCTGCTGTTTTCTCCAAGGAAACTCATGTCCGTAGCTGTAAATCTGGGAGGACTCCAGGGCTCAGCTGGAGGCTGGCAACCCCACTCGTCTCAGAACCCATCTGTTAACTTCCACCAGCCACTGCCCTGCGCCTGCCAAATGCCTTCTTTTCCCGCACACGTACCGGTTGCTGACGTTGACGCCGCCGTCCCGCATGGCGTGGAGAAGGGTGGCCATGCAATATAAGGCTTCTGTGATGTCCACCAGCGAGAGGTTAGAGCCCGGCCTCTGAAGGCAAGCCACCAGTTTCTGGAGGTCGGCGAGGGATCCGGAGAAGAGGACGATGGCCGCCATCACAGCCCAGATGTTTGGAATCTAGAGGGAGGGAGGGAGGGGGAGGAGGAGATTGGATTTATACCCTGCCCTTCACTCGGAGTCTCAAAGCAGCTTACAGACTCTTCTCCCTCCCCCTCCCCACAAAAGACACCCTGTGAGGTAGGCTGAGAGCAATATTCCCTCTAAGCTGTGGAGTCCTGTGAGCAAAAATTCAACTTTGTGAACTACTGGCATTCAAATTGTGAGCAAGTGATTTGGCTCCTGCATAAATCAGCTTGCTCTGGAGCCCTCCTTCCTGAGCGAAGACAAAAATGGGTGAGCCGGAGGCTAAAAAGCTATGAGCTAGCTCACACTAACTCAGCTTAGAGGGAACACTGGCTGACCCAAGGTCACACCAGCAGTTGCATATGGAGGAGTTGGGGAATCAAACCCGGTTCTTCCAGATTAGAGTCTGCACTCCTAACCACCACACCAACCTGGAGCTCCTAACCACTACACCAAAACCCAGCAATGTGTGATGCAGCCCTAATCTTTGCATAGGAACTCTGCCTGTCACAGCACCCTTGCGAGGCTGTGCATAACTGCGGAAAGTACAGTTCCGCTGGGCCTGCAAGACGGAGCTCTCCCGCCAGGCCTTTAGTTGAGGCAGCAGGCATCCATTCGGATTAGGCCTCCCCCACCCACCCACCCAGTGGCCACTCTGCAAGACGGAGCTCTCCCGCCAGGCCTTTAGTTGAGGCAGCAGGCATCCATTCGGATTAGTGGCCACGGATCCTGAAAGCCAGACTGGGACCACACCAGGGGTCATTTCCTGCAGGGAGCGCACAGGAGCGGAGCTCCGGCAGTAAAGAGCCCCGGGGGCGGGCACAGGCAACCAAGCCCCACCCCCTGCTCCCAGTAGCCCTCAGTCAGAGCATGAAGCAGCCAGGTAAGTTGCAGAGCTCCCCCCTGGCCCCCCGGCCCAAAACAGTCCAGTGGCATCTTTAAGACCAAGTTTTATTCAGGTACAAGCTCTCCCTCCTCTGTGAGGACAGATCTGTGCGTCCCCCCCCCCAATAGCTAGCAATCCAAAACAGTCCAGTGGCACCTTTAAGACCAAGTTTTATTCAGGTACAAGCTCTCCCTCCTCTGTGAGGACAGATCTGTGCGTCCGTCCCCCCAATAGCTAGCAATCCAAAACAGTCCAGTGGAGCCTAAGCGGTGGGTGTTGCCTTCTGACACACTTCCGGTGATGTCAGGGGGTGTGGCATATGCAAATAAGTTATGCTAATGAGCTGTGCTAATGAGCTCCTGCACCTCTTTTTCTACGAAACGACCCCTGGACCACACTATCTACCGTGAGGGATGTTGTCGTTTTAAATGCTGATGATTTTACTGAATTGAGGCTGATGATTTTATGGATTTTAATTGACTATTGTAATATGTTTTAATTGGTAAATCTGCATTAATTGCAGATGCATATATGTTGGTACCCCCCTGAGCCTACAATGCAGGCAGGGCGGGATAGGAGTCTAAATAAATAAATAAATAAAAACTCTTCTCCAGAAATCATCCACTGATTTCTGCCATTGTTGGTTGAGATAATCTGGCAGACCCTACCGGGGTGGACATGTGGAGCATGTGTGTAAAACGCCACAGAAGTGTTCTGTATCTGAAGAAGAGTGCATGTGCAGGAAAGCTTCTACCCAGAATTAAACTTTGTTGGTCTTAAAGGTGCCCCTGGACTGAAGCTCTGTCCTGCCACAGAAGTGCTGACTCCCTTGTTGCAGCGGAAAATATAAAGTGATACCAGTTAGGAGGAAAGACCGGCTTTTAGAAGAGAGCAGGGGTGGTTTCGTAGAAAAAGAGCTAGGGGAACTCATTAGCATAACTCATTAGCATATGCCACACCCCCTGACATCACCTGACATGTGTCATAAGGCCACACCCCCTGACATCACCGGAAGTGTGTCATATGGCCACACACCCCGCCCCCAACGGTCCCGGCCGCTGCCGCCGGCCTTGCAGCTCCACTGCCGAGCCCCGCGAAGGCCCCCCCTGGCCCCAGGCAGGCAGGGGTGGGGAGAGGCAGGGAGGAAGCATCCCTCTTCTCCTGCCTCCTCCTGGCTGAATGAGGGCTGGAAGCAGGGCGGCCGGAAGCAGGGGGCGGGGCTTCGTCATGTGCCCCGCCCCCATACCTCACCCGGGGGAACTGCGATCCCCCGCGATCCCCCCTGAAATGACCTCTGGAAGAGAGACTGAATTTGCACAACAGACATCCTAGAAGCTGAGAGGCCTTCAGGTCGACAGGTAACCCAGAATCGCAAGCACCCGGGACATACCCCCTCGTTCGGGCTTTCCAAATCGGGCAGTCGCTTCGCAATGCAGATTTCGGCCACGCGAAACAGGGGGTGGCTCTTCAAGCACTCCAAGATGGCTTGGGAGTTTCGGCGCTGCTGGTTCTTCATGGCCACTACGCACCTGGGTGGACAGGAAGACGGAACAACAGGTCAGCGCAGCGTTGCCTGGTGCCCCCCCCGGCAACTAGCGGGGGGGTGAGGGGGACTTACTGGCGGCAGGGAAGAGGCCTAGGCCACCGTCGCTGGTGACGCCACTTCCAGTGGGCACCGGGAGTGACGTCATTGCGTCACCAGCAACATGGGGACACTCTGGTATTCGGGCAAAAACTCCATGGCAGAAGCCATTTCTACCATAGAGTTTTTGCCCAACTACCATTCTGTTTTTTGCCCAGAGCATCATGTGTTGCCTTCCGTGGCGACAGATCAAGATGGGTCGCCGTGTTAGTCTATCTGCCGCAGTAGAATCATAGAATCATAGAATGTTAGAGTTGGAAGGGACCTTGCAGGTCATCTAGTCAAACCCCCTGCACTCTGCAGGAGCATAGCCGAAATATAGCCCTACAACATACCCAAAAGGTCCAGCCTCCGCTTGAAAACGTCCAGTGAAGGAGCATCCGCCACCTCCCGAGGCAGACTGGTCCACTGCTCAACCACTCCGACAGTTAGGAAGTCTCTCCTGATATTTAGCCGGTATCGACTCCCTTGTAATTTCCACCCATTAGATCTAGTCTTGCAATCCGGAGCAAGAGAGAATAGATCGGCTCCATCTTCTACATGACAGCCCTTCAGATACTTGAAGACTGTAATCATGTCCCCTCTAAGCCTTCTCTTTCCCAGGCTAAACAGACCCAACTCTTTCAGCCTTTCCTCCTACGACTTGGATTCCAACCCTCTCACCATCCCGATTGCCCTCTTCTGGACCCGCTCGAGCTTGTCAACATCCTTCCTCAAATGTGGTGCCCAAAACTGGACACAGGACTCCAGGTGAAGCCTGACCAGAGCAGAATAGAGCGGAACTACCACCTCCCGTGATCTGGACACAATGCTTATGTTCATGCATCCTAAGATCGCATTAGCTTTCTTCGCAGCCACATCGCACTGCAGGCTCATGTTTGGCTTGTGATCAACCAGAACACCTAGATCCCTTTCACATGTGCTGCTGTCAAGCCAAGTCCCTCCCATTCTATATCTGTGCCTTTGATTTTTTTACGTAAGTGCAGGACTTTTTCAGCGTTCCGTGCACCTTGGTGTTTAGTCATGCCGGCCACATGACCACAGAAATGTCTTCGGACAGCGCTGGCTCTTCGGCTTTGAAACGAAGATGAGCACCGCAACCCTAGAATCGGATTCGACTGGCTTTTGAGCAAGGGAACTTTACCTTTAAGACTTTGCACTTATCTCTATTGAAATTCATTTTATTTGTCTCAGGCCACTGTTCCAGCCTATCTAGATCATTTTGAATCCTGACTCTGTCTTCTTCAGAATTAGCAATCCCACCCAACTTCGTGTCATCTGCAAATTTGATAAGCATCCCCTCTATGTCTTCATCCAGGTCATTTATAAAAACATTGAACAACACCGGGCCCAGGACCGAGCCCTGCGGCACTCCACTCGAGACTTCCCTCCACGTAGACGCAGAGTCATTTACGAGCACTCGTTGGGTACAATTTTTCAACCAACATCCAGCCCACACTGAACCAGCTTATCCTCAAGGATATCATGAGAAACTTTGTCAAATGCTTTACTGAAATCTAGATCCACAGCATTGCCAGAGTCAACCATTTAATAACTCTGTCAAAAAAGGAGATAAGGTTGGTCTGGCATGACTTATTCTTGATAAACCCATGCTGGCTACTACCAATTACTACCATTACCACCAATTTTCTACGTGTTGCCAGCGACACAATGTCACTTCCTGTGCACACCAGAAGTGACATCATCTTGTCACTGTGGCAACAGCAGCCTAGGCCTTCCTCTGCTGACGCTAAGTCCCCCTGCCAGCCCGCTGATGGGATTGGGGCATCGTCCACACCCAGAGGAGGGCGGGCAACCCGGGTTCAGCGTTCATTGCTTTGGATGCAACGGAGACAACGGCCCTGGCCATTTGCTGGGGAAAGAGGCGGCGTGGACAGGAAGGCAAAAGAAAGCCCTCGACAGTTTGGCCACAGCGGAACAGGGTCCCAAAGCTCTCGGGACTTGCGGTCAGGTTGTCTCCTTGGTACTGTGGAAAAATCCACCAGGGGCCAACACACGCAAGTCTGAGATGGCCCCAGCCCCCTGATGCAGTTCCCACAAGCAACCTTTGACCTTCCGTGCTTAACAGCAGAAGAAGAAGGAGAAGAAGGAGAAAGAGAAGGAGGAGAAGGAGAAGAAGGAGAAGAAGGAGAAGGAGGAGAAGGAGGAGAAGGAGGAGAAGGAGAAGAAGGAGAAGAAGGAG